ATTGTTGGATTGAAAAATTATATTTTTTTTTTTTTTTTTTGCTCAAGGGCATCCTGATTGGGCTTGTCATAAAACAAATCTCCCAAGAAACCCGCTCCTTGGCTTCCCTCACTGGGCTCTTAAAGTAAACAACTTTTGGACAGGCAGTACTCCTCCAAAGTACAGTCCAAAAAAAAAAAAAAAAAAAAGAGAATAAAGTCAAGGTGAGGGTGGTCTTGGCAGTTTCTCCTGACAGCATTCCTTCTCTGTCACGAGAAATTCGACCAGATGATAACTCCGACATCAAGGTGACGGACATTTTGATCCTTTCTGTGTAAATTGAAATGCTTCCCTACCAAAAAGACAGAAAAAGTTTGCACTTGTGTGTTGAAAAATAAAATACAGGCCAGGAGTGTGTGGTCTTGGAGAGCCCCTATCCAGCCTGATTTAGATCCCCCCCCCCCTCTGAGACACTTGATTGAAATGATCAGGACCATTCCCAGGTTTCTGCAAAGCTTGCTGCCAAACTGATCATTTCAATTAGGCGTGTTGGAGGAGGGCCACCCCTCGAGGACCGGACTTGGGCCCCCCCCTAAACAACATACCTTAGCCTCTGTTACCATGGCAAGAAAAAAAACTACAAGCTCTGAAGTTGGCCTCACGTCAGACGAAGACGCCAGAGAGTGGAGACAATTGATGCCACTGGCACCGTTTCCAGATCAATACTTGGAAAACCAAGGAGCTGGGCGCTGGGTTTCCAAAGGAGGAGTCGTCGCCTCACAGATGATAACATCCTACACTGGAAGTGCCTTGAGTTCTATGACATTTTGGGGAGCTCAAAAAGATGGGATATTTACATTTTCGGAATTTTTAAAGGTCACAAAGTGACTCCCCCCCTCCCCCCAAAAAAAAAAAAAAAATACAAAAATTGAAGTGAGGAGATATTGCCAAAAGACGAGAGAAAGGAACCAAAAAAAAATCCCGCTCACACTGAGCTCCGACTTTACGGCGTAACCTGGCTTCATTTCTCATCAGGGGCCCTATTCTTTGCGTGAACACGAAGCGACGCTTACACGGAATCAAAAGTATGAAAAACAGCCCGAGGCCCTAAAACTGAACAAGACCAGCTGTCATCCAGCGTTCCTTCGTGTGACGCGAACGGGTTTTGTAACCTTGAAAGGTCAGATGGTGGCACCATCCTCAATGAGTTTGACTGTGACGTCACGATCAGTCTCCCAGCTAAGCGGCTTGCTATCGGACAGATTTTTCTGGCATCGCTCATAATTACTCTGCTGTAATTTGACTCTTGACGGGCGGAGAGACATTTGAAAGGCCCGTTTTTTTTTTTTGTTTTTTTTTGGTGTGTCGAATCCATTGAAGTCGGTTTTTAATGTATTTTCATAGTCTGGCTCGGCTGTTGGCAGCAATTCCCGGATTTGTTGCCAAATGCCTCGGAGAGCATCGGAAACTCCCTGGCCTTCCCTCTTGGCAGGGGCAAGCCTGTTTTTTTTTTTTGTTTTTTTTTTTTAACTTGATCATTTGCAAATGAATAGGGAATACATGAAGTCACTTCCCATTCGGCTTGAATTCAAACAATTCTGCGCTTTGTCTCGGGTACTGCATAAGTTGCGCGGCCGAAGTAAAAGCCGGCCGGCCACTGCGCTCACCTGCTTGAACACCTGCCCGGGCTACCTTTGCAACCAGTAAACGCTCGCTGTGAGGATGCACGGAAAACGGGCGAACGACTCCACAGCTCAACCGCCTACGCGGGGGCAAGCAAGCGGACAGGCGGGCGGGCAGGCAGGCAGGCATGATGGCCGAGCGTGACAGTCAGCGGGGAGAGAAAGTGGGTGGGGACGGGTAAATAAATGATGAGGATGAGGAAGGACTCGGGAGATGTGCAGCGCAGCGTACCTCCTGTTCCTCCTGTCGTTGCCGCTTCTGTCGACGGCTGCAATCGGCCTGCCGCGAGCCTTGAGTCAGCCACATCGCGGGGGACCGAAAAGGAGTTCTTTCGACCGCTAGCAGCACCGGCGCGTCAGGTCCTCGTCCGCGGCCATCCCCACAGTCTTCAAGCCTGCGGGGTTTTCAACCTCCCCCCCACCCCCACCCCACCCCG